TTCACCTGGCTTAGTGTCGAAGGCAACCTGGTAGGGTAAGCTGTAAATTTCTTTCCAGTTTAAATCATCATTTTCAAAAAATTCAACATATTTCTTTTGCGCAGTTAGTTGAACAATTTCTCCGTCTCTAAATTCTTTATAGATGCCTTTTAAGTCAGCATTACTTAATAAAACTTCTTTACCAGATAAAAACAACTGAGGCTGCTCGTGAAGATCGAAAGAAACAAGGCGATCATATCCATAACACTTCAACGCATGACGCCAGTCCTTCGGGAGTGCCTCCAATGGGGATAAATTTAACTCCCCTAGCTTGCTCTTTATGATTTCATTGTTTTCAGCAATAAGATCCCCTATTCTTATAATTCCTTTACCTACTAATCGTTTGTTGAAAGTCCAAACGGAATTGACAAAGATTGCATTTCTTTCTGGCTGGAAAACTTAATTGATTTATTTTTGAGATCGGCACATCTTTACAAAGATGGTGGACAGGTTTTAGCGGTTCTTTGTGTAACGTTAACAGCAGTGGAAAATTGCCGTCAATCTGAGGATGATCCCTCATATGGTGGGATCATCGTCAGAAATGCAATAGCTGTCAATTCCGTTTTGGACTTTGTAATATTGATTTTGGACGTTGTAATATATCAATCAGGACACGCCTAAGGTACCGAATAAGCACCTCACGAGGTGAGCAAGATGGAATGTCTCGTTAGAATACCATTTCGGTTTGCTTACAGTATGTAATAAATAATATTGTTTAAGCTCCAGGCCTGGATCCTAAGTAAACCTTTTTGAAAATTGCCTTTTTTGCGATGCCTTTTTGCGTTAAGCCTCGTTGCGTACTGCCTTTTTGCGTTTTTCCTTTTTTGCGTGTTGGCTCTTTGCGTGTTGCTTTTTGCGTTATACCTTTTTACTTGTTGCCTCTTTGCGTTATGCCTTTTTGCGTGTTGGCTCTTTGAGTGATGCCTCTTTGCGTGTTATCTCTTTGCGTGATGCCTTTTTCTGCGTGATACCTATATGATAGTGGCTTTTTTAGTATTTCTTCCTTTTACCGTGGTCTTCTTTTACCAACTTTGACTCGGTATATCTCAGATTTGACTTCACCCTTTTCACTTTTAGATTGGGTATTGCGAGCTTTGTTGTTGGCAGTAACAAGTCTTTGGCCTCACAAAGTAGGTTCTAGGGTTGAAATCTATTAGGCAAGATGAAAATTCATGCTGATTTGTGACCAGGCCAAAGACTTAGTAAAAAATTGTGTGGAAGGCGGAGGTTGTATGTCTCCTTTTCAACCGCTGGTTTACATCCGGGATCTTGAATAAATCGACCGTGAGCAGTGAGTCGAGAAAAGTTCCATGTGACGATTTATGTGGAGAAAGCGGGAGTTTTACGAAGTAATTTGACAATATTTCGCCCGTGTTAAGTGTGGAAGTATTATGAGTGGTTTTCGGAAGTGTTGGTGTGATTGCCGCGAAACTCATTTATAGTGAGATTTACCGAAAGTGTGGACAGACAAATCTCAGGTATGTGCGGTTGAGCTCGTGTTACCAGAATACTTTGTGCCAAGCATAAAAACGCTTCGTGAGTGTTTAGTTTAGGTGATTTTCTCTTAGAAGGCCTATTCTGTGCTCAAAGATTGTGAATTCTTAATCTGTTTTCGGCCGACACTGAGCTGTGGGCCTCACGGTTTGACTGACTAAAAGATTACAATTTCTGGACGTTTCAAATGTTGTTTATTTCATTGCAAAATCCTGTTATTTCTGCGAGAGAACTTCACCGTCTATTGCCAGCAATAATGCTGTCATTGTTTAGCGTCAGCTACAGTCTCAGACAAAAATAGTTGGGACACTTTAGCCAAACGCTGTTTTTTCCCTTCTCGTGCTCACCTCGTCCCTCTCAAAGTTGTTTATCGCGGTTCGGTCACCAAATCTTGTACACCAACATTGAGGGGACAAGGAGACCCCAAAGTGTCCCAACCATTTTGACTGAGACTGTATTTTAGAGGAATTTTAGGTATGTGACTCCTAGTTTGCTCTATTGGCGGGAAATCGCTAGGCAGGTATATGCACGTTTCGGAGCCATTTTTTCGGGAAAAACATTAGAGATTTCACGGATAGAAAGAGAGAAGACAATCAATAGAGGAAAGAAGTCTTTGTTTCTTTAATTACAACATTCCGAAGTATTAAAAAAAGCTCTCTACGTATTGGGTTTAAAGAGTGAACAACAGATGAGTCAAAACTGCGCGCATTATTTCGCAGGCTGTGTATCTTGCCGCTTAAATATATTATACCGGTGCAGACACGATTAGACGGGTCACCATAACGGGTCACCATACTATCCAGGGCATTTTCTAAGACCTCTCTGGTATATACAAAGGATTAAGAAAGAAAAGGATAAGGGACTTTCACACTTAATTGAAATAGCTAAGGTTTATAGCGCCTTGATACATGTAAGACAAGTTATTAAAACTTTGATCATGGTGACACGATTGTTCGCCGAAAGAAACTTATGATATCTTAATTGAATTAATGTACGGTGACCCGTGTACACGTCGAGTATAACGCTTTTTTTTTTTTTTTTGGAGGTTTTAAGGATAGGTACTGTCCTCGTTTGATATGATTCATGTTTTGGACCTCAAGTCCCACATTTATGGCACACTAGTTTGTTTTAGAGCTCTTCAGGAAAGTGTATATTTGGGGTAAAGAATGAGAACCGATGTCACCATTTGGCGCGAGGCCAAATTAACGTATGTTGTAAACAAGTTATAAAAAGTTGTCGATTTCACAGCAGTAGCCTGGAATATCATGAAGAAACTTTTTGGCGTCGGACCAAACAGTTACACTATTGTTGGACACCCTTTTTACGCGTTTGTAGTCCTGAATAGTATCTTTAGAAATTTAGAAAGCGGGATACTGTTGTCGCTGATACATTTTGGGAATAATCCTGGCTTGTTGCATTTTCCTCCAAACTGGAGAAAAAGTTTCCCCCTTTCTCTCGACATCGCTTAATCGCTCTTTCGGCTGTCTTTCGCCTCTTGCCGTTAAGTTAGAAAGGCGTGCCTTTGAGCCTTGTTCCTATACTCTTTCTTGGCAAAGAGACCTTCTTTATTTTTTTCCACACATTTTTTTCCAGAAATGTGGCACATTCGGGCGCCTCTCCGTATACGAAAAGCCCGAATCTTACGTAGATAGTATGCACGTGCTATGTTGTCACGCTATCAATCGGCCACTAGAAAGCTATTTGTGTACGGTTTACTGCACACTCAGTTCCCTTTATTTTCCAATACTCTACTCTGCCCAAGAGATTTCTGCGAACTGGTCATTCTTTGTGTTATGTTGTTATGCCCAAATAACTTAGTTCACTGCTATAGAAACGTTCGCGAAATACAATGGACGCCCAACAAACCAAAAACCCGTCGCTTGTGACCGACCTACAGATTAACCTCTGTATCTGTCAACGCGCCTTCAAATTCCTCCCCGACACAGTCTCAGACAAAAATAGTTGGGACACTTTAGCCAAACGCTGTTTTTTCCCTTCTCGTGCTCACCTCGTCCCTCTCAAAGTTGTTTATCGCGGTTCGGTCACCAAATCTTGTACACCAACATTGAGGGGACAAGGAGACCCCAAAGTGTCCCAACCATTTTGACTGAGACTGTAGTGACTTTTAAGTGCTCCCCATTCCACTTAGATGTCGAATAGTTAAAATGCACTTGAAATTTCTTTAGCCACGTTTTAACAAATCCAGACAGAGATATACATATATATAGTTCCAAACTACGAAATACCCTTCCTATGCTTCAAACGTACACTTAGGGCCTCTTCATATAAGCCCGGTTGACCGGGCTGGCTCGGTTTCGCCTTGGGTTCATATGAGAAATTTCAGCCCGGTTTCCGAGACGAGTTCTAGCACCAAATTCGGGAAACAAGGCAAACATAGCGAAACACAAAAATTTTAACTTTCAGGCCTATCCTAGCATCGGCAACTCTTAAAGCTGTATCACTGCAGTTAAATGGAACGCTTATGATGTGGAAAATACAGCAGGCAATGCGAGACGATGCCATCCGGACCGCCAGAATTCATCCCGGTAACTGGGATGAAGTGTTCATATGGCAAAATTTCCAGCCCGCTTACCGAGATCTCGGTTGGAAAAACCGAGATCTCGGGAACCGAGCCAAACAACTTGACACCCAGCGTAGATATACCCTCCATGGACATTCTTTTTTCTTTTTTTTTCCCCTTTGTTAAAATTGAGATAATTAGTCTTAACCGTAACGAATTGTAACTGTAACTTAATTGTAACGAATTGTAACTGTTTGAAAAGAGTAAAAAAAAAAAAAAAAAAAAGGGAAAAAAAATAGTACAGGTCTGGACTGTGCTTTGCGTTTTGGGCTTAACAGTGACTATATAAGTATGCTTTAACAGCTCGCGCATGCCAAACTTTTCGGTAAAAGACAAGGTAGTTTTCAGACTCTATTCGACCCCAGTTGTAAAAGCATCGGAAGATTTAAATAGATTTGAGCGAGTTGTTTTTTGAAAAGTTACAGGAAAAAAAAATTAACTGGCCTTACCGACTTCTTCGTTTGTGTGGTCACGCTTTCCAGGGTAAAGCACGCACTGCATAAGCCACTACATTGGTACGGAGCAAAAGAAGCAATAGCTCGTATGGCCTTTGTTTCGGTATTCATAACAAAGGAAAGACCGCGCAGACTTCAACCCAGTGAAAGTGATTCACTTCACTCTTCACCGGTAATATCACAGATCTATGTTTCGAGTTCGACCTGGAAGTAAAATGTCCCGAGAACAATAGCCATTATGCAGCCACTTTGCTCAGTATTTGTGAATCTCTCAGTAACTGATTAACTCTTTAAATGAGTAGCTGACATTTTTATACACGTAGTAATCAGATTGAAATAAGGCAAATACAACAAACGAGAGCGATAAAAAAGGAGCTTCACAAAATTAAGAGTATACAAAGATTGCCTTTATTCTAACTGATTGGGTTTGTACGCGATGATATTCTTAACAAAAACGATGGCTGTACAGCACTTTCAAGGACTTTACGTTTTTTTTGTACTTACGTATTTAGCTTATAAAACATTCTAGTAAATCACCAGCTCACCCTTAACTAAAAGGCGAAAAAAAGTTGATCATTTAACCTAGTTTGTCAACATTACACTATCAAGTAGCCGCGGCTTTAGCACAGGCCCATTTGGGCAAATTTTTAGTCTTTTTTTTTCAACAGCCTTGCTTGCTACTTTGTATGTCTAGGTTATTGTTACAGTGCATGCGTTAATTACTGATTATGGAGTTTTTCGAAATACGGTGAAATCGCCTTATGTCTCCCTAAATCACTTAGCCACCCGAACCACAAGTAACAGAGACTAAAGGTCTCAATGTAGCCCTAAGTGTGTACTTCTTCTTACCCTCGTCTAGGAACAATGTCCCTCCATTTAAAAAGCAACTCACTGAAGAACAAACGATACTTTCCAAATTTTTTTTCAAAAACGATGGGCTCATCATCTGAGACTCTCCAGCATTGTAATGAATAACCCTGAAATAGCCAGTAAGTTATTCTACAGATGTTGTGATGCGGGTCCTGCATGATCTTCTCAATTCCTTTTTCATAAGCATCATCTCGTGTCATCCAGTTTTGGGTGAAGATGAGTTTACCATTTTTTGGAAAGTAACCTTCCCAAAGACCAGGTTCCTGTAAACAGGAACAAAACAATTAGTGAACCTCGGTCTTATCAATATTTGAGAAAACTAGCCTTCCACTTGGTTAGCATTTGCCAAAAAGGTTACTACGAAAGAGAAAACCAGTTGAGACGCTTCTGGCGCATTTGAAAGCAATCGGTCTTTCGGTTTCCCTGAAGTATACACAAATACACAACAAATATTGTTATTCATCGCAGTTATAACATGCAAATAAGTATTATCATTTACAATATTTCTTAATTGTTATATTCCTAGACATTCACTCAACTAAACGGGAACTGCCATTGGTTGATTCTTGGTCACGTGGCCTTGACTAAAATCAAATGTATCCCGATCGTGATACATTAAGCAATGTACCCCACTCGGGCTACATTACAGCACGTGATCAAAGCACGGTGAGAGTGGTGTGACAGAAGGCGGGAAAAACACTGCCAGTTTTCTTTTTCGTGAATGAACACAACAACTTGAACACAAACACGAAGCCTTAAGCTAAAAAGCAACGATTTTCAAAGTCATCCCGGAAGAGAAACAGCAGCTAGTGGAGGAAAAAGATGCTGATAATATAAGGAAAGTACTTTATAAATCATTCATTCAGTGGTTTTAAGAACTAAATTTGTGTTGTTATAAGTACCGAGTGCACTGTTTTGCCTCGCTTCGGTCATTTGTTTGTTACCGTTGAAGTGAAAGTCTAGAAATATCACAAAACATTTAATGTCAGATCCCTCGGGAAACCAGTTAGTTTTGTTTTCCAGAGAGTCCTGATGTTTCCCTCGACTTCGTCTCGGGAAACAGCAGGACTCTTGGGAAAACAAAACTAACTGTTTCCCTCGGGATCTGACATTAAGCGTATGATGTACACACCCACCCTTTGATAAATATCAGTTCCACGGCCCCAGGAGATGTTATTAGGGTGATGCATGTGAAGCTTACTTTACCCTAAGAATGCCAATGAGGGTCTACAAGAAACATAATATCGCCCCAAACAGGATAGTGGCCGATTTAATTGCATTTTTTAGAAACGGCTGAGGTCTACTTTCGTGAGAGAGGTATGTAATAGAGACTAATAATTAGTAAATCAGATAAAACCTACACGGCAAAAAATCTCCTAATTTGTAATTTTACCAAACTGTTAATGTATTGAAAATGCCACGTTCACGATCCGTTTTCTCATTTCGGAATTCGCAAGGAAAACTCGGCGTTAACAATCCGTTAAAACCAGGAAAATTATGCTGTTTACTTCACGTTTTCCAGCACACGGAAAAAGTGGTTGAACAGTGCGCTTTCTCTCTTTAAGCGGAAATTTTTGCCAAACGGTTAATGTAAGGAAAATATCGCGTTCGTGACTCTTTTTCCCACTTCGGAAAAGACAACGACAACTTGGCATTTGCCACCAGTTAACAGAGGGAAAATATGCTGTTCTTGTCAGATTTTCCAGCACATGGAAAACGGGATTGAACAGTTACTCACAGTAACACTGTTTCCAACACTCAGACCAAGGTCAACTCTGGCCCTGTCACGACAGGGACTATACCGTACATCAGAGGCACCTCTGAAACTATCGCACGCATATTACAACCTTACAATATACGTGCTGCACACAAACCGATGACCACTTTACGGCGACTGCTTACTAATGTCAAGGACAAAGACAAACCGGAGGACAGACGGGAAGCAAGATCAAATGCTGATACTGCCAGGCTTCTTACATTGGTGAAAGCGGCAGAAACTTTAGCACGCGACTGACCGAACACAAACGAGCGACGAGGAATGGTGACGTCAACAATCACTTTGCTGAACACCATTGACAGACGAAACATTAAATTGACTGGGACTCTGCGACATGCTTTACGTATTCTACAGACCTACTATCAACGACTTACTTTAAAAAGCTGGTTTACTAACTTAGAACAAACGCCACTGAATCGTAGCAAACAGTTACCAGTACCGTCCGTCAATAAGTCGTTTGTACGGTTCCACCAACTGCCGACTTCAAGTCAGGGGCGTTTGTTCTAAGTTAGTAAACCAGCTTCCTAAAGTAAGACGTTGGTAGTAGTCTGTAGGAAAAGGTAATGCATTTCACTGAGTCCCAGTTGATCTGATGGTTTGTCTGTAAATGGTGTTCAGCAACGTGATTGTTGACATCAACATTACTTGTTCGCTCGTTTAGGTTCAGCCAGTCGCCTGTTAAGGGTTCTATCGGTCTCACCGATGTTAGTGGCCTAGGAATCGCAGCATTTAATCTTTCACACTGCCCTCTGTCTGTCTTTCGGTCTGTCTTTACCACTGACATTCGTGAGCATTCGCCGTAAACTGGTTATCATTTTGTTTGAAACAGATGTGCTGTAACGTTATATTAGGGTTGGATAGTATTGCATTGTACATCTTATAAGTATACAACATTCAAGGTTATCATTTCTCATTGTACACTGGTGCTTTCCAGTTGAATTTGCTCTCACCCTTTCTGCAAGATGCTCTTCCCGGATACGCAGCAACTCTTCTCTTGCTTCCGCCAGTATTCGTTCTTTACTTCTTTGTTCAATTTCTTCTCGTCTTTTTAAGTGGTTTTGCTCCGCTTCCCACTTTTCCTGCCTTAGATCTTCGTCTTTATGCCACGTTTCCTTGAGGGCTGTAGCTGCTTCCCTGAACTCACTTCCAAGATCTTCAATTAATTCCCAGATAGGTATATAACTTGTGCTGGGGCCACGGTCAATCAAAGCCCAAGTGGAGCTGTAAGAAAGCAGCTTTTGGAAAGTAACCGGATTTGTTGCTGGGGGTCCTATAGACCTCACAGAATGGGAAAACCTCTCATTCTGGATGGATGTATTTGTCTCTTCACTGTTTTCTCCACTGTTTGTGTACTCTTCAGTACCACTGACTCCAATCCTCAGTGCTCCGCCAAGAAATGCAACTGCAGCCTCTGTCAGCTTGAATATATCTGTGGTGCTTTTACTTTCGGCATCAGCAATATTAAAAAAAACTCGGCCCAGAGTGTGCAGCCCAGCTGGAAAATGGCTTCCGTAGCGTTCCATAAAGATGCGAGCAGATTTTTCACACTCCAGTGCTCTGGGGTTTCTATCCTGGACAATGGACTTTGCCTTTTTCTCAGCAGTCAAGGAAAGGCGTAACTGGTGTGGCTCGATTTGGAAAACTTTTTTGGCTATGCGAATGTACTGTAGAGCAGATGCACTGGTGCTTGTAGTTTTGGCAGACTGAGAAACGAGACTGTTGTCCTCATGGCTGTTTTCATTTTGCACTTCCCCAACGAGAAGGTCCTCAAAACCAGCCACACCAAAACCAATGTTGGTGCTGGTTGATTCAACTGTTCGTACGTAGTCTGTAGCTATGCCCTTTGCGGAAAATTTCATGTAATTTACTTCTTGAGCACTGTTAGGACTGTTTAAGGTCACAGTCATTGGTACTAGAAGCAAAGGAATTCCAGCTGGCTTTGGAGACTCGTATTTGGAGTAATAAATTCCACAAAGGGCTCTCCCAGCGCTGGCCCTAGTGACGATTTCCACTTCACTTTTGTATGCGTCAGCAGATTCCAAAACATCGCTGCACTGCTTAATAATTTTATCCAGATACTGAAACAATACCGCTGGTTTTACTTCATCCTCCCTTAGCCAATCTATAGGAAGCTCTAGAGTGCTCATGATCAAAGCCAATGTTTCATTTAAGGTTTTCTTTGATGACTCTGATTGATCTTTAGCAATAGCCTTTGCTTCGTTCAGCAACTCTTTGGCGTTCTTCAGCGTTTTCAAGTCTGCGCTTTTGTTTCCATGGTTTGTTGAATAAGTTTGTCGTCATTTGGAATGGCAGCGAGTAGATTCTTGGTTGATTCTGCTTCCTCTACAAGTTGATAAACCTTCTTCATTTCTCTTTCATCGGCTCCACGGCAGCAGTCTTCCAGCTCTTGCAATCTCAGCCTTGTAAGTTCCTGGAGGGACGAAACTCTCTTACAGAGGTTCTTCACCCATTCTTTTGTGACATCAATAGCTTTAGCACCAAGTCCGTTAATTACTTCATCGTCAGGGCTCATCTTTGCCATGTTGGGAATCTTCAGTGAAAATGAAATGTTGGTTTTAATCAGTTGGAGTAATAGCTTAGTTGTTCTATTAATAGAAAAAAACCGAGACTGAAACAAGGTAAGGCTTTAGAACATTGGTTGCACCGAACTGGCGATTAACCAAAGAAATTATCGCCGCTATGGTTATTTCAAACAAATCCTTTTCATGATGGTTAATATTTACATTACAGGGTCTATCTAGGATATTTGGGGGTAGAAGCTTCCCCCTCAAATGCCCAGCTTCCCCCCCAAAAATATTGTTATCATTACAGTATATAAATAACTATGTCAGAAAAAAAATCATCCAGACGTGACGAGGTCAATGCACATGAAGTAAGTATTTCCTGTCCAAGGACACTATATGACAAGGGACATAGAGTTTTTTATTTTATTTTAAAATAAAATACCACTGTAACATTTCTCAAAATTGTGTCTCAACGCAAATTCATTTCCAAACCTTTCCAGGGGGCGGAAGGCGTCATGCCCCTGGACCCCCCTAGGAAACTCGTGGCCAAGGCCACTAGTTACTTCTCCCCCAAACGATAAATCCTAGATAGAGCCCTACATAACTGCTCCCGATGGTTGATGAAACAGCACGGTCTACTTTATATAGAGGAGCAAATCCAGGACATACACAAAAGACGTGAAATTAAGTGAAATTGTATGTGTGGTAGTCTTGTGCTATTTTTATTTGTAGTTCCTCTTACTTTACTTTCTAGGTGAACTTGTTTCTTTTTAAAAGTATTAACCTCATCAACCGCAACGTTTTGAGCCTCGTATGTAGAATTGATGGTACTTCTACAAGAGTTAATAACAATGCAAGTTCCGCCTTTGTAGTGTATATGTAATAATACTCGCAAAATATATATTTATCAGCTTTTATCCGCAAGAATAAGGACGTGAATGAATGCACAGATACACAAATAGATAGATAGATAGATAGATACCTTATTTAGCAGAGAATTAAAAAAAAGTAACACTTATTTCAAAACTCATGACAAAAAACGATGGTGGACTTTCGTTATAAATTGTTGAGGTCATGAAAAATCGATAATATCGATTTCACACAGCAATTCTTTTTATCGATTTTCACCGATTTCCATTATCAATCGATAAAAATCACTTGATTCTTCATGACGAGATTCATACGACTTTGAAATTCACCACAGAGAGGACGTTTCGATTTCCAGTGTCTCTGTAAAAACCTAATTAGGATTCAATTAATAGCCATTAAGGAACGGACCATTAGAAAACTTATTGGGGTGGGGGGGCGAAGTTCGCGCAAGGGAAAATTAAAGGAAAAAAATTCGTTCACGCCAATTAATCCTAAAAAATTTTCATGCTATGACCTAAAAAAAATTCATACCAGGAATTTCATAACGAAAAAAAATTCCTGCGGCTCGAAAATTCCCCTCCCCCACCATAACTTTTCTAATGGTCCGTCCCTAATCTGTTATGACTTGTGTGGTTTGTGTCACCGATGGAAGACGAGCTGAGACGAAAGACAGATGCTATTTGTATCACTAGTAATGGTTGACACTACTGTCAACCAAAAAACGCAAGGTTCCATGCACTGCTTCAGTTTGATTTTCACAGCTTTGATCTGAAAACATTCTCAGTTTCAGGAATAATTTATTCTAAACCATAAGAAAAGATTTAATTAGAAGTTGAATTTTTAGCTATTTTTCTTTCCCTTTTTACATACAGTGCATTATATTTGCCGGAACGGTAAGCCTTAGAAATTAAAAGGACGTTTGATCAATTCACGTTTGCGTATTCTAGTCTTTTTTAAAACTTTATAGGGGAAGGACATCGGTGAGCAGGAAATAAGTCAGCACGGAATTTGATTGTCGGCGAATTTCTGTAATCGTCCATCTTTCTGCTGGTAATAGGCTAGCCTTTGATTCACTCGCCTTCGCCCAAAGATATAGAGAAAGAGTGTCCGGCGAGGTTTGCAATAAAAGATTTGTGAACTAGTGCCTGGTAAACTCTCCTGGTGTTTATATACACACAGTTATACGCACCTTATAACTTCATCTGCGCTTAACGAGTGTCTTTTGGTCCATAACTTTCAAAACAACTGCTCTATAGAATGTCACTGATAACACATAACGCTAAATAATATCGAAGTATGGGGAGCGTTTTCTGTCTTAGCGTCATCTTAACCGGAATCCCGTACTTGTGGGCGCGAACAATAAAAACGCCATCATTACCTGCAGATTCCTCGCGGCCCCTGTTCAACTGACTGTATATTTCAACTGTAAGTATATACGCACGAGTTACTAGAGTGCCTCCTCGGGATTTCGCCTTCTGGGCGAAATCCCTGCGGGGACAACAATGCGATATCGCGTGAACTTTCAAAGCCGGCATGAAAGTGGCGCGTTCGTCGGGAAAAGCATCTGCAGTCTTTGGACCCTCGCTTGCGAAATTAACAAACGTAATAAACGTACGCAGTATCAGTGACCAAATGGTTTTACCGACAGATATAAGTCATGGCAAGTCAAAATTTTAAACTTTTTTATGTAGAGATGATGTTTGGAAGTAGCATGGCCGATTATTTATAACTATTCATGACTTGCTCGATAGTATACAGACAGTACTGACGCTCGAAGTCGACCCATTGAGGTTGGGTTTTTCAATGAGGAAAGATCATATTGTTGTCGTTTCAACCTTAGCCCGAGCCTTTAATGCGCCGATGGAATGCAGACGAAAGCGGGTTTAAAGCGATCAAAGAAGGACTAAATTCCCTCCAACTACTAGAAAATATAGAGGTAAGCGGCCAGAGAAGTCAGAGAAAGCGTTTCGTCGTGCGGAGAAGATCTGGAAAAGGTACTTGGTCGTGGATTACTGAATTGGGGAAATTAAAATGAGAGATTCGCTCGAGAAGCAATATCGTATGATCTCCTGACGGTGGCAGATGACTGTCGAGTCAGAAACTCGGGCATTCACGTCGTTGTTGACTATCTAGGCGTTAGGCCTTTCCCGATTGCGCTCGTAAAATCCTAAAAAAGTGCTGGCAAAAATGGCTAAAAAGTGCTCAAAAAGTGCTCAAAATCTCCAAATAGTGCTCATAAAGTGCTAAAAGTTGTGAACAGTTGCCTCTAAGCTTTTCGTAAATATGTCAATTTTTACTGAAGTAATTAACAATCTATTTTGCGTAGCGTTATTCGACAGGTTGTTACGAAAGGTTGATAGGATATAGAACAATAATTTTTTAAAAAACTAAAGCCGGTTAAGAATTGTAAATAAAATCAAATGATTTAGAAATTTGAGATGACACACGCATGATACATCAGCCAATCAGAAACTTCTGCTCTCACGCTCAGTAATTATAAGTCCACGTGCCTTTCCATGACAACGGTGTTTTTATTCTTGACAACATGATTAGTTATTCAAATTTATGACCTGGAACACGATTCTCGTTGCGAGCGACACACAGCTTTTGCTTTAAAATGTTTTAGAAGACATATGTTGCTCGAAATTTGCTCGAAATGTGAAATATTGCTCAAATGTTGCCCAAAGTGCGAAAAAGTGCTTAAGGGTGCTCAAACTGCAAAATAGTGCTCCAAACTCAAAAAAGTGCTCAAAAGGTGCTCAGCGCAATCGGGAAAGGCCTACTAGGCGTAAATGATTTTTATTGAGGGTCGCTGACTGAATTCAACTGCACGGTGATGCTCTCTAGCCTTTCTCAATTTTCTAAACATCAGCCAAAGCGGGGTAAGTATATTTTGGGTTCCTTTGTAGCGGTAGCGGAGCTCCACTCGCAGCGCGAAGCGTCGCGCGTGGGCGGAGCCCCATAGCTAAGGAAATTTGGTAATCTACCCATCTGAGTAAATTTGGTAATCACGTGACCGTACACCGAGTGAGCGACCGTCCGCACCACAGGCATACCAATGTAAAAGGCTAATTCTTCAAGAATACTCATTCCGGTTTAATGGAAAAAAACGACCTTCAAACACATGGTTCAGCCATGGGCAAGAAAATGGCATTCGCCTTTTCTGTTCTTCAACAAGGTAGAGACCGAAATCCTCAACCAAAGCGAACTAAAACCGCTCGTTATATAGAGGACATATTCTCGCTCTGGACTATAAACAGACACAGAATAGAACAGTTCATTGACCAAGCGAACAATCATCACCCTATGATCAAATGTAAGGCTGAAATTTCCGATAAGGAAACAACATTCCCGGACACCTACATCTACAAAGGCGCAAGATTTGAAAGAGACGCAATCCTCACCTGATGATTGCACCTGATGTGCGTACTCATTTTAAACCAACTGAGACATTTCAATATTATACGCATTTTAGTTCCTGTCACCAACAAGGAGTTAAAAAAGGCTTCATTAAAGGAGAGGCCCTACAAAGACTTCTCAGAACAAATTCTTTTAAACTAATATTCGAAGAGAAAATTACAAACTTCAAATCACATCTGCTACAGAAAGGTTACCCAGGGGATCTCATTAACACAACCCCCTTAGAGATTAATTCCAAAGACAGGAAGCTGGCCCTTCAACAAAAATAAAAGAGAAACCTACGAATGTTGCCTTTTGTCACACAATACCAACCATCAGCGCTTAACCTTAAGCAAATTCTCATGAGAAACTGGCATTTAATAGAGTAACAACCATTACTGAGAGAAATCTACAAAAATCCTCGTACAAAAGAGGGCGGTCGCTCAAAGACATTCTCGGGAGAGCCAAACTATGAAAAAGGCTTTAAACACGGAGTCTTGTAGTCCTGTCAGCCCTATTTTAATGTTAGTTCGAACCCTAACTTTCTAATGTTTTCTCCAAACAGGAAATCTTTAAAAGAAAACAAATCCGAACAAACGAAATTTATAGCAAGCGAAACAGGCAAGCGAAAAAGCAAGGGAAAAGGCAAACGAAATGAGCAAGGGAAACAGACGAGCGAAATCACACGCCGACGTTCCCCAGACACGTGAAAGTGATATAAGAGGCGCCGAAAAGAGGAAATGCGTGTTTTAACATATTGGCATTTCGGTAAATTCAAGAAAGGCTCGAAATCTTGTGACCAAAGCTAGAAAAAAAAAATTTAAAAAACCACCCTCGACAATTTACCCTCGACCCTCGATATTTTACCCTCGACCCTCGACAATATACCCTCGACCCTCTACATTCTACCTTCGACCCCCGACCCTCGGCAAAAAACTACACTCGTGCTTTTCCAGTCTGTGCTATATGGTTTATTGAAAAATGGCTTAATTATAACACGATTTTGTCATAAAAGGGCAAAATAACAGGCCCTTAGTGTCTAAAAAATACAAGTAAACAAAATAATACAATGGCTGCGTGTGCTGCTGATGTTCGCCTATTGAATAGGCGAGCGTTAGGAGAGGTCTACTATTTCAGACCTCTATGAATCTCGTCATGTACCGATTTTTATCGATTGACAGCTCCGGGGTGAACAATAACGGCCACCAGACAGAGCCTTGGAGTACCCCAAGTATTAAATCCGAATATAATGCCCCTAACAGCGACAGGTTCTGTTAAAAAGTTAGTAGTCCAGTCAGACTTGTGTTTGACCTCTCCTACCAGTGGAATAAAGCTAAGACTTGCCGAAACTGTTTGCATAGTTAGTCATGTCATAAATAGCCTGCAGTGCAGGCGTATTTTGGGCTGGCGAAAGCTGGTTGTTTATGTTCGTATTATTGTAACCGCCATCTTTGATTTTATGACGGAGGAAGATTAGGGAGAGTGAAAATAGTAACCCTTCGGGTAGTCATTTCCTCCTCTCTTTTGGAGATTCAACATGGCGCTTTCGCGAGCAAAGCGTTCGCGCGCCCGAGGAAAACGCCTGCATTGCAGGCTATGTCATAAACCTTAATAAAATAAAAAACACGGCTCTGATGAGATTTCTCTTATCAATGTTTTTCACAATTATTGTCTAACATTCAAAAGAGCAGTATGTTGAATAACTTAAAGAATATGCACAGGGCAGATGGTTTGTTGATACGTATCAATAACAACTCTTTCAGAACAAAATCAACCGGATATATATCCTTGAACACAAATCTGTCTTGGGACAACGTAGCAATAGGACAGACACTGGATACATTTAGCAGATTAAGAGTGCTCCTATAAAAAAGAGTGCTCCTAAAAAATCTTTATAAACTCACGGCTACGGCTGTGCGTATATGAGATGACGTGTTCAGTTGTGTTTATTAAACTCGAATTTTGGGTGTTCAACAAAGTCTCCAATAATCAAAGACAATGATAAAGAACTTCTTAGCATTTTTGGAATTGAGCTTTTTAGCCACTCGAACTAACAGCAAAAGTGAAAATTATTAATAAGCCCGAGTCGATAAAAAGTCTGGCGCAAAAGACTGACATTCAACCTCAAATTGGTGTCGAAGAACATATATGTATAATAATTATTAAGTGTCCTCCCTTTTTTTCGTTTGTTAGTTCATCCTTTTGTAAAAAGTTAATTATTACAGTAATGGTGAAAAATTATGCAATTTTCAGAAGCCTTTACGTCCAGTACATGTAAGACTTCTTCCATTGTTCGCAAAAGAATAATGTGACACAAGATGACAGTCTAGTCGTCCTCGCTAAACAACAAACAAGTTTCCTGGATTTCGCTAAGCAAAAACATACAAATCGTTTAAATGACTCAAACCATACTACACGCATTCTTACGAACATTTAAGTATCTTAACTTTACATGTATGCCTTTAGTTCTGTTGAATTAGGTTCCATTTATCGTTAACAGATTGAGAAGAACCATTTTCTTTCTTTTTCAAACTAGACGATTGCATTGGTGTGTGTTTGAAACCAACCAATAGAAGCGTTTTTTCTTCTGTGCCGCGCGTTGAGAGAACTTTGCAGTTTATCAAAAACAAACGTTCTTGTTATGGTAGGCGTGCGTATATGGAGTTATGGACGAGAACGGGAAGTTTGGAGGGCGCAAGTTGCTCGAGGAGACTTTCTAATAAGCCAACGCTTTATCTCAACATGTGTTGCTCTCTTTGCCGGTGACACGAAGTGCTTACGGGCAATCAAAATAAAAGTGACCATGACCACATTCGCCAGTGGTGTAATTTACGGAAAATCGATCTTAACCAATCCCAGTGCGGGTAGCCTGGGCCACAGACGGAACTAAACTTCTGGTTAAGTCAATCTGCGAAACAGCGCCGATACCCTTGTTCTGGGACCTCAACTGGCCTCTGATTGGCCTTTTAAAAAACGCATTGTCAATCCGCCAATTAACTTGAAGGGAAATTCGAAGCGCATTTCCGGTTATTCTCTTGGGGGACAAGAACAAGGATATCGGCGCAGCTTCCCAGACTTTGCTAACCGGGGTTAGATTACGACTGTGACACAGGCTAAGTGAGGGCTACTTTCTATTACCAGAAATAATAGCCCGTTTGACTTTCGTTATCAATCACTCGATGTCGAACAAGTTAAGACGATGGAAGCCCAGAAAAGTCTGGCACCTCGTTCGAAGGCCAGAGGGATCTTCGGTATTATCCGACGGTAATAAAGAACACTTGTCGAGTTTTAAGCACAAATCTAGCGAGTGCAGAACATCGTGACGTCACAAATTCCTTACATACTCTCTTGGGAAAACACCTCCCAGCCAATCAGGGCCGGCGTACTAGGTTAGTTATTTTATAATAAGCAACACAAATTTATAGATCACTCGAACTCCGCGTGTAAAAACTGTATCTTTATTCCATGAAGAACAAACATTCCACGTTTCTATAGATCCAGATGCAAATCAACTGTGTCAAGTCCAATTTACAATGAAGTTCAAGAAGGTTCAAATGAATTCGAGACCGTATATCCTGCGCAAGAGTTTTCTAGAAGCAAAATGTATGCTTACAATGAGTTCAATGTTCAAAGGTTCAAAAAGAAATGTCCGAAATGCAAGAAAAGTTACCGACTGTTTCAAGTTCCACAATTATAAGCAGACGCTTCCAAAATGACAAACTTACAAGGAATCCCTGGTTTCAAAATACGTGGTTACATTGCAGGCAAGGAATACGTGCGCAGCGGTAGTAATAACAACCTACAATCCCGGACAAAAGTCCTTGGGACAGTACTACAATATGCATATTTTTCTGTCTTTTCTCGGTTCCCTCTTAAAACAGTGTATCATTTTCGAAATTTTCTTGCACTTCCCCCTCCCCCACCCTATACAAAGTTGAAACTAGAAAAAAATTCTGGATACACGCGTCCAACATTGTTTGTGGGTAAGGGGAGGGGTTGGACCTGTGTGAACTGGAAAACGCCCCAGAAACGCAAAAGTGTCCCAAGACGTTTGTCCATGATTGTAGACTATACAGAATTATTGTACTGCATGAAAACGAAAAGTTAACCAGAACGGGCAGCGAACAGCTTTTAAGAGAAAACAACCCACTATAATACCCATCAAGATAAAAGGGCCTTATTCAACCTAGACTGATAGAGATGATCAATAGACGATTAGCTATAATTTATGGTTGACACGAAAACGCATTGTGCCACAAGATGAAAATATTTATACGGTTCAAGATTCATTTCTTTTAATTTTCAGGTTTCTTCAACCTCTAAAAAAGGAATTAGTTCGTTTGTAATTTGCTACCTCGAAAACTTTAAAGAATACCCACAGGTTATTTTCCATCGACTACAGAAACAAGAATCGCCAAAAGGCGATTTTCACCGGGCTGCCAATTTTCCTGGGGGAGGGGGTGGCTGCACACTTAGGCCACCAGACTTGTCGCTGACTACTGCGTGACGTAGCATCTCATGTGAGACTTAAACAGTCACTCATTTGAACATTGTACCCTTTTGGAAGACTTTCGTAACAAGAAAAATGAGTACCATTTTTAAGTCGGGGCTGTACAGTTCTTTTTCAAATTCCACCATTGCGAATAAAAAACAGCAAGTGAGCCATTCTAAGCAGGAAACAATAAGCGTTATTTTCACGCACCCCTCAGCCAATCCCTCTGCTCTCCAAAATATAGTTTGATTAATTTGACCTAACCGGAAAATCCAAAAATTATTGTCGTTGGCGACAATAAGGAACTCACTTTGTTGAAGCGATTCATCTCGAAGCTCAAAAATTGACCTTTGAATAGTTAAAACCCTGCATATACTTTGTATAATTTACTTTACCCCTTCACTTTACAGTGTTTCTCTCATTAACATACGAGTTGTTTACATAAAAAGTTATGCATATTAAAGCTAGCTGCGAACTTTCAAAGTTTATCAAAACTCGCTAATGCTAATGTGAATCGTGCCTGTTGAATTATCGGAGACACAGAAATTATGAGAAGCATAACACTCGATCACGCCCAAATTTAATGACACAGATACAAACAAATGCAAAAACTCTGGGCCAACTCACCAAACGTTGTACCAGTAAGCAACTTGTCTTAGTACTCGATTTCTCTCAAGTTTGCTTATTACCGGGGCCTAGCCGAAGGCTGGCACCGGTCATAAAATGCAACGCGTTTCTGTGTTTTCAAAGTTACATTGTTAGGGATATATCGCTGACTGAGATATATCGCTGGCTCGTTACTTTTGGCAATGTTCGCTGAGATATATCGCTGGTTCAGAAATTTGAAGTAGGGAGCAACAACTGTGACCATGTAAATATTAATTCGATTAGTTTGCACACGGAATGGTTTAATGCGACTATATTTACCACTTATCAACAAATGAGATCGCTGTCTATCGCCAGATGTTGTTGCAGTATTCATCTTAGCGATGACAAAGCTTGGTGGACGTAGAACTGTGTACACTACGACAAAGCAAAAATCTTAACTTATTAAACTTGCATGCGCCAAGCTTTGTTTATGCGTTTCAATACCTTACAATTCGCACTCCCTGCAGGAAACTTCGTCAAATATTTTCCGACAAACAATTAAAACTCATTAGGAGGAAGTCTATCACTGCTTTGACTTATGAAGCAACAAAACAAAATATTTTCAAATAACCTTTGTCACGCAATATTTACGTTAGCGAGATGCGCAAATTCTCAACTGTTCAAAATGCGGGATTCCCTAACATTTTGTCTTTTCACATTATTCATTATACGTTGATGTAGAATTTTTATGTTTTTCTCCTTGGTATGCTTAGCTACTTTGGATTCTTGTTGCTAAGAAATTATCTTATTATTATGTAATCGATCTGAACACGTGAGAAAAACTGCGTAACTTGACAGCCTATGATTGGGAGTTGACTCATGCCGGGTGAACCCTCATCTATTGCTCTGGAGTTTTAATTACATGTGACCTTTGCTGCAACGCAGTCATTCGTTCTAACACACTCGCCATGCGAACAAATTACTTTTTCCTTCCTTCTCCCCTTGCCCTGTCCTCTTTCCTTATTTGCATTAAACCATTGCTGGGGCGTTTTTATGCCCTCACCTTTACTGGACATAATTGTTTACCTTTGTGATTTAGAAGTATACCGAAATAATTCAAAGAAAATTAATTATTCATTAAATAGGCTTAGGGCCAAATATTAATTCGATTAGTTTTGGAACGGAATGGTTAATGCGACTATATTTGCTACTTATCAATGAATGAGATCCCTGTGTATTGAAAAATATTGTTACAGTATTCATCCTAACGATGACAAAGCTTAGTCGCTGTTGAACTGTGTACACTACGACAAAACAAAAATCTTAACTTATTAAACTTGCATGCGCGAAACTTTGTTTGTGCGTTTCAATACCTTACAATTCGCACTCGCTACAGGAAACTTCGTCAAATATTGGCCGACAAATAATTAAGACTCATTACAAGAAAGTCTATCACTGCTTTAACTACAAATGTAATGAAAAACCAAAAAAGACTGTTTCACATAACCTTTGTCACGCAATATTTACGTTAGCGACATGCGAAAACTCTCAACTGTTCAACTTTTCACATTATTCATTACACCTTGTTTTCATCTCTAAAGAATATTTGCAATAAAAAAGATTTTCATGTCGCCCGACAAACTTGTTGATAAAAACGACCCTTCCACGTGGGTTGCCAAGACAAAAGTGGCCCCGGTAAAATTCACGAAGTGATTCTTGTTTAACTTATGGTCTTGCTGCCTGAGGTCAGGCATGCAAGACTAATCTTGCTTCCAATAACTTTTCTTTATTGAGTCTGTGTCTACAGTCTGGAAAGTCATTTCTATGTTAAAAATTCTAGACTGGAAATACAAAGCAATTCTTTCTCTCGGCTTGGAGTAAAGCTGTGGAATAAGATACCACGCTATACAACGGATCTTCCAAAGAAAGCTTTCAAAAGATTCTCCGCAAATTGCTATTTGATATCCTTGAAAAGGAAGATGACTATATTCAAATCCCATGCATGATTATTCAAAAAGTAGCTAGATAGATACACTTGGTAAAGGTTTTAATGTCTGCTTTTCTTTTTCTGTGTTATCATTGTACGTCAGTAAGCGCCGCGTTAAAACTTCTGTGTTTTATTTATTTTAAGTTGCAATCTGCAAGGCTTTCTAATAGTTTCAGGTTTTTGTTTTTACTAGATAATTGTGTTATTGATGTACTTGTCTTGCCCCTCCACGACTAGCTTTGCACCTACTTGAGGGGCAAACTATTCAGCTTTTGTATTTTTTGTACAAAGAATAAAGTTGTTGTTGTTGTAACGGAAACTTCCCTCCGTATATAAACCCCTCCAAAAATAAGCCCCTCAAAAAGGGCCTTTGAAAAATATAATCCCCAGGCTTATTTTCAAGATTTTGTCGTATCTTTCTTTGACCAGATCAAGCATAGAGCACGTAATGAGCGACATCCCAGTGTAAGGCAATGCCTACATCCGTCATCAGCAGTAAAAAGGGCCGTCGGGTCAGAGACAGGAATTTAGCCGAGTAAAGTCCGATACCTATTTTGAATCACGATTATATGCTTTTATATCAACACAATACTTTCAATTATCTTCTTCTAAAAAGGACAAAAAAAAAAAAACTCCAATGTTCATTAATGAGGCTAGAACGTTGCCTACGGATAGAGCGAGGGCCAGGTGTTTTCCAGTCAAGCGTCAACATGTTTTCTTTTCGAAGATTATTTCGTCTTTTGGCAAAGTCTATCAGGGGTATGGATTACTATGTAAAGAATACAAAAAGCAGACAAAAGAAAAGCGAACAAACAAAAACAACGATAACAATGTCTCAAGGAAACTTGTGAATTGACCTGTTGCACTGAATCCTTCTTCAGTCTTCTTGGAATCCTGCTACTGAGGAATGACATAACGAGTGCCCTCACAAATTAAAACAGCATTTCATCGACGTTTGTTCACATCAACATTAATTTTTGTCTTGTACGGATAAGTCATTATGATGCGATTCATGACTACTGCTAGCAAAAAACGGAACAAGATCTCATTGAGTTTTCGTATTCTTGGAAATTTATGATCCACTTGGCGAAAAGCCGGGAGAGCTCAGAAGAGACATAACAAATGATGCGACAAGACTTTTGGTTTCGTTTTCATAATTTCAAGAATTAGTAGAAGATATGATACTCTCAAATGATGCTTCCCTACTAGTTAAGGCAAAGAGAGATTATGCACAGGGAGAAAAAAAATACAAATCAAGAAAATGTTTGTTCGCTTATAAAAAAGTGGGGACCTTGCACGCAGAATGGAGACTTCTGCTACACTGTAGATTTCTTCCTTTCACACGTACGTATTTGTAGAGAACCCCGGCGCTAAACTTTGAATGCCGTCTTAACTTTGTCCAGTTTCTTTGTTCACCGGTCAGAGCTTATTGATCGTTTCCAAAAGTGTAAATGCTATTGGTAATGGAGTTAACGCCGTATGAATTCTCAGAAATCCGATAGCAATCATTGTTTTCAAAGAAATCACTTTTATCTTAGAAGTGTACATCTACCTTCTGGGCTACTATTTTATCAGCAAATAATGAGTGTTAAGTTTTATACTTTTCATCACCAGTGACCTCAAATCTTCGTTTTCGCTTGGATACAGCAATTAATTGTTGCAGTGTAATATCTGTTAACAAGGCTAGGAGTTCTAAATAACAGAAATCCTTGTGGTCGACTCAGTGAATTGACGAATCTCTTTCTTTTCCCCAAGTAAAATGTGTAACTGCTTCAATGTACGTAAATAAAATAAAGGAAGCGAAGTGAATTGTGTTAGGGCAATCATTCATACAGACAGTACTTTTCTGTTGCCATTAAACTTGGAGAAACAGTGTTCGCTTATAATGCTCAATAAGCTCTTCCTTGCCTAGGCTAAGGTGAGATTCGTTTTTATTCCGTCAACAGAAAACATTCTGTGCCTTTGTTTGCGATATGCGGAGTATCTCTGTATACCCTTTGAACAATTAAAGGAACCAATAACAGTAGTATAACAAGCAAAAGAAAGCCAAAACTGGTTCCAAGAGGTGTCCCTCTCCCCTGATGTGTTTACTTTAGTACGACAACACTGGAATGCACATAGCATTCTTTAGATAAACACTTGGTGTAGAATGTTAATCCTTCAATTCTATATAGATACGTTTTCTTGCCTTTTAGGAATTTAATTCGTCTGGTAGCATGCCAGTGGTACGTCGAATTTGCCATTTATCGAGTAGTACTGCATACCAATTAGAATATGACTAATCTAGTGAAAGAAAGACTGCTATGCCATAACAACTTTTGTTTACAAATGGACGTACATGTATCTTGTTTAAGCGAGCTAAATTATGAATAAATGCATAGACACGTATTTCTTACCTCGATCACGATTGCCCTTTTTTTCACGGCGAATGCTCTATAAAGTTGTCTAGTTGGGCGACGCACAGACAGTGCGATTCAATCGATATTAATTTCCTCCGCAAAAATCTTCACCCTTGAACGAGGAGGGAAGATATGAAGATCACGTGAACACAAGTACTTTCCCGGAAATGACTCTTTTCCAGACCTTCAAGGAATCTTTGGAAAGTGAGACAACAATTATTCACCTGATTATTAACCTCTATTGAGAACGTCTTTTAACCAGATAACAACTTTCTCTCCCCAAAACGTCTATGGAATCTTAATCCCTAAAAATATGAATGGGTGTTTATTTTTGATCTGCGCCATAGCTGTAGCACGCAGTGACGGTAGGTTATAAGGTCATTCATTTTGCACACAGGGGAGGTTGGACTGCAAGGCCTGCATCACGGGCAACAGATCTCAATGATCCATAGATTTAGCCACAATTAAGCAAAAATTCAATATTAAACTGTTTTAGTTATAACAAAACATGTTTTAATAATTGTCATTGTTTCGTGAGAGTAGAAAAAATTGTCTTTAAAAATGTGCCATTTTAAGTCAATCTAGACTGCAAAACAGTCCGTACTTTTGCGTATTCAAGTACGCGCGAGCAGTCAAACAAAAGGTCTTGAACAAGGCTGAAAACAGAGAGCGAGACTGGGGAGAGACGCTTTTATTTTTCTCTCGCTTTTTTTTTTTATGAATAGTTTATGAAGTTTGAAAAAAAGAAAACACGAAGAACGTAATATAAAAATCGCATAAACCTAAGGACCCCCTGGGTCTTTTCTTATCAAAATTTATAACTAAGTGAATCAAAACAACATAGAGAAACAAAGTTTCCAATCAAATACTCCAATGCTAGTTATAAAGAGCGTCTTACTCAGTTAAATCTGGGGTTGGAATACTTAGATTTGATTTTTTCTTTGAATGTAAGGTCGGCTTATGTTTATATTCAATGAATTTGACAAATCACTTTAATTTTTTCTTTGGTACAACGTTCTAGGTTTGCTACGTTCTACGTCTGCTGGTTTAAACGTTCGACCAGGACACCATAAGATCATGCAGTTGCTCAAGATTATTTGCCCAAAATGTGATAAGGTTAACCCTTTAACATTTTGCTCTTGTTGAGTTTGATATCATTCATGTAGGTAATTTTTTTTATACTGCAGTCCTTTTACTTAACCTTTATTTTTTTGATTCAGGATGGGGGTCTGGCCACATAGTTTTTCGCCTTGTCATGCTCTTGAAGGGTTGGCTTTGGGTAGTTCAACCTAACCTTTATATATATATATCTGCTTTGTGAGCTGAATCTGCAAATAAACAAATAAATACATACAACTGTACATACACATTAAGTACTCATGATGGATAGCTTTAGTATTGTCAGTTCAGTGATCACTAAGTTATTAACCTTTCAATGGCATGCCTGGAATGCTTCCTGCTGATCTCAAAGCGGCTAGTGTCAAACCACTGCTCAAGAAGCAATCATTGAGCTCGGATGAATTC